CTTCTGTGCATGTAACTCAGCGCACCTTGTCTTCAAGTGCACACTCCCCAGAAGTTTTCTTACCCTGGCCTCCTAGGATCTCCCTTCTATGTGGCTTTGTATTTATCCAAAGACTTGATCAAAACTTTAGGAAAATTTCTGGAGCTCTTTCTCTGCTTATGTCCTGCTCCCTATTCCTCTCTCCCAAAAATCCCTCCTGCTAACTCTCTTTGAACCCCAGTTCTGTCTGCTCAGTTCAGGGAAGTTGCTGCTTTAGCACGGGTCCCCCTTGTCACACCCAGAAACTGTTTTGTGACAGAGAACTGCGCTGATGGGAAGGTTCGCCTCATTTGTTCTCCTTCTCGAAGGGAAAATCAGTCCTGCGCTGCCGGATGCCCACTGTCTGGATACTGTTGTTTGTATATTTTTGTCCAGCTGTGTACTTATTTATGGAGGATGGACAGTCTTGTATTAGTCACTCACCATGGCCGGAAGTGGAAATCAGACATTGACTTTAAGAGTTCAGATCAGTAGCCCTAAAAAGATCTCATGTTGTGGGTTTTGATTGTTTTCCTATGGTGTTGCATACCTTGTGTCTCTATACATTTATATTTTATATTTAGTTTAAAATATGTAACCTTTCAACTTCAAGATATTAAAAAAGTCAACTTTAGTACTGCTTTTCTATGAAAGTAAAGGCAGGAGTGTGTGGAGGGAAACTGCTTAGTATGAGTGCAGTTTCAGCTCTCTTACACTAGCTGAGGTGTTGGGGAAATCATCTCACTTATCTGGATCTCAGTTTATTCATCTTGTAAAAATGAGGAGGTGCTTTTTTTCAGAATTAGCAGATATTTACAAAACAAATGAATTATTCAAAGAACTTGAAGCTTAAATATCATAGGCCTTAAATTTAGTGGCTTTTTTTTTTTTTTTTTTTTTTTTAAAACCCCCTTTTCCCCCTTACCCCTTTTTTTTTTTTTTTTTGTCAAGTCACCTTTTGCCCATGTACCATGCTTTTATTTTCTTGTTGTTGACTATAAAAGCTTTGCACAATTGGGCATATAAAGCAACCTGAATACTTCATATTTTTTTGCAATTAAACCTGATTGTAAACACATAGTCCCTCTTCATTGAAGGGCTTCTTATGTTCGCCATTGTTATTTGCTGTGTGTTACCAAGACCTAGAAGAGTGCCCTTAAACTTGAGTGCTTAGGATCATCTGGGGTGCTCATTGAAAATGCTGCCTTCTGGATCCTGGTTCTGGTCCAGGATCTTCATTTTAAACAACCATAATTGATTCTGATGCAGGTGGTCCAAGGATATTTTGAGAAACACTAGAATAGATTTTTCCTTTTGCTGGGAAAGAGCATTATGTATTTTTTTGTTCAATTATGTTTTTAGTTTGTTTCTGAAATTATTAGTTGCCCTCTCTTGATATTGCAAAACAGGACTTAGGGAGAATTTGTTATCTATTCCCACTGAACTTAGAATCTAAGGTTGACATTTCAGAGGAATCCAAACAATTTTGGTACTGGACATGTTGAGAAAGGGTTTTTCGTTTTAATTTTTTGTCACTTATACTAGTGGTTTTAAAATTCTATACAATGGAAAGATGAAATAAATCAACTGATGCAATTTATTTTTGGCAGAAAAAGACATTTTTCCTTGGCCAAGTGTTTTTCATCTGTATATACGAAACCGGCAGTTTTGTATCAGTTTACACTTTTTAGTTTTCTTATTACTATTTAGTTTATTTCATCATGATTATAATAACATTATAGTATGTGTTAAGAACATAGGCTCTAAAGATACACAAACCCTGGATCCAAATAACAGCCATATACTAGTTCTATGATCTGTGCTCAATATTTGTTTCCTTTTCCATGAACTGGAAGTAGAATATCCACTTCGTCAAGTTGTTGTGAAGCTTAGAAATGATGTAGTGCATATTATGCACCTAACAAAGTGTCTAGCAGTTAGTAACTATACAATGATGTTAGTTTCTATTACTTTTTCTTATTTTGAAAAAGCAATTTTTTAAAATTCAAATAATATTATCACAACTAATACTATAAGTTCCAGCCACCCTGGATGAGGGTCAAGAGTAAGAGCTTCAGGGACTCTTCAGCCATGCGTGTCTGTGCATGTCCTCCTGCTTTCGAACAACACTCCCTGGATTGTTTTCTTAGTCACTTTTGCATAAGGAACATTCTCCTGGGAGTTATGGGATGAAGGAAGTGGGCTGACTTCTATTTATTCTTTTACTTGCAACACTGGAGAGGTCAGTGAACTGGAGATTATGTTTATCAGCATCAACAAACCACCCATAGCAATGTGTTTGTGCTTCACTGAGCCTAAGAAAAAGTCAAACACGGAGAGGTCACCTTGAGTTAATCGTTTTAACTTACAAAAACAGGAGCCATTTGTTCGATGGCAAAGTCTCAGTCCATGTATTATTTATTTATTCATTTATTTATGCTTAGAGTGATACTTCTCTTATTATTTCACAATTCTTTTCACATAGAACTGCTTACTATTGGAAGAATATGAGGGGAATTTTGGATGTATCACACACACCCTTAGAATGTATTGTAAATGCAGCTTTCTACACTTTATATGTGAGACACATCAATATAACATAACCAAACCCATCCTACTGTAACTCAGACTTCTGGATTTACTTCCACTAAATTTCATGGACTGACTTTGGTCTGGATGAATTAAAGATCAGGACCGGTAATAAGTTGTTTTTACTTGAGAATTTTTAGGATTCAAAAGAAGCAAGACTCTAAACTATGCAAAGCAAATTAAGCTCTGTCGTCTTGGTGGACCTTTAAAAACAGACATTGACAGTCAAATATGGCTTAAATTATACTGAGATTCTCAATTTACCATGGGTGATATGTAGAGTCCATGATGTGCTCAGATTATTGTAAAAGATTAAAGTAAGCAGTAGGTAGGCAGCTTTCATGACTTTCACAAATGGGTCCTTGACTTCCAATAAAAGAGGTTGAGGAAAATTTTCTGTCATTCTTACAGGGAAAGAAATGCGATGCTTTTATTTTTATTAAGTGAAGTGGAAAATGTAAGCAGCCAAATTTAGTTGCAGTAAAGGTAGATGCCCTGCTGTATTAATCTTAGTCTTTTAGGTGAGTTCCAGGTTATACCCAACTGTGTAACGATGCCTCCCTCTGGTGGTTTAACTTCATAAACAATGACCTTTTTTTACTAGTATGTCTCATTTATTCTAAAGCCCATCTTATTCCTTGCTGCCAGTTATCCTAAATTAATTGTAGGTATACTATTTTAATTCTTCCAGGTTTACATGGACTGTAAGGATGTGGACGTATTGTTAGCCCATTGCACAGGTGAGAGGGTGTCCATGACTAACGCTGTACAAGATCGTTCTGCTGCTCCATGTACCCTTACATCACCTGTGCTTTCTTGTAGCTTCCTTGATAAAAGCAATGAAGTACTATGGAAACCTAGATTCAGAGAAACCAGTTTTTTTTGAATCAGTATCTGCTGCAATAAGTAACATCCATTCAAATAAGGTGAGTTGAGCAAGTTGGCGTGCAGGAGTTATAAGAAAAATTAGAATGTAGAATCAAGGGCTTTGCATTTCTTATATTAGCTTATTATTCCACTGACATCCAAAATCTATAACCCGCCCCCCCATTCCCATGTGTTTTCTGCTGCAAATAAAGGTATGTTTTCATTCCTTTTTGGGGCCAGTCAGTTTCATTCCTTTTTTGCTCCTTTTTTGAGCAATTGTTTAGTAATTTGGATCTTCCAACAATGTCACTGCTTAGTGGATTTGGTGATCAACTATAAAGTGCAAACTGCTTGCATGTAAAATAAATGCTTTTTCCATGATCTGCTGTCCCAGAAATTTGAATTCAAATTTATTTGAACTCTAAATATAGTCTTTGAGTTTTTCTGCTGTGATACCCTTGCCTCTAAGTTTATATTGCCATCTTTGGAAACATTATTTGCAGAACCTAACATTCATATGACTTAAAGTGTAAAAGTTATCTCCAAAACGTGGGCTTTTAAGATTCAGTTTTACAACTGTTCCTAGGGCTTAGATTTCTTGCAATTTTTCTTTTACTTTTGAATCGTTTTGCCTTTTTTATCCCTAGAACAGCATTTGATGCCTCCCAGAATCATCCCTAATATATTCAGTCAGAACAATATGTATTTACAAAATAACAATAATAATATGATTATTATTACTACATACCTAACATTAAGTGCTTACTGTGTTCCAGGAATATTCTAAAGGCTTTACCTATATTAACTAAATTTGTCACAACCTTATAAGGTAAATATTATTATTTTACCGATTTTTAGAAGGTGGGGAAACCAAGGCTCGGGGAAGGTATGCCATTTGTAAGGGGCAGAGTTGGTTTCAAAGTCAACAGTTTGATCTTGGACCTGGAACTTTAAACCTCTACACTCTGATGCCTCATAGAATGTCTACTCCTTAGCTCAGCTGGGCAGCCTGCTTCACTTACTACTGTTCTGTACCCGTGGTACCAATTTAAGAGTTGAGTAAGTAGCATACGCTTATTTCTTCCTCTTCTATTTCAGAATTTGAGCAAACTCAGCGACCACAGTGAAGTCTGAAACCCTTTTGTTGTAGTATGGCTCTTGTCTTTTGCAACTGCCCTGAAGAGGCCATATGCTGGTATTTTGCACAACCTTTTTGTTCTTTTGATCCTACAGATGACCTCTGTTATAATAAGTATGATGTGACTTAGTAACTGCCTAGCCACCGGTTAAGATTTGCTGACAAATTTTTCTAATCTTTACGTTAGTAAGCAGTTTCATGTAGTTATTTTATATAAATATCAGTATGCATTTAGTTTTAGTGTACTGAAGGGTAAACGTGATTTTTATTTCCTTTTACTGCAGTATTTTGTGTAGTTTTATTTCTTTTTTGCTGTAAGTTAATTTGTGAAACTGAGAAACACTTTTGTCATAAAAGATTTTGAACATTTATAAGCCATTTATAAAATTTCAGGCTCACTGTAACCAATACATAAAAACAACTTAACAAATGTGCCATTTTTCCATATCCAATTTCCCAAAAAGCCACTTTAACATCAAGAAGGCTAAATATTACTTTATATAATGAGATATGAAATTCACAGAAAACAAACCAAACATAAACAAATGACAAACTAGAAATTATTGATCTTCATACACTTTCATACATTCATTCCTGAAGTATTCGTGAATGTTTTCATATTCAGAATAAAACTGGCATCCCAATAAAACCAAGTTTCTGACACTAATTTGTTATACTGTGGATACAGGAAATGGCTCCATCGGCTTAATTTCCACATTCCAACTCCACAAGAGGCTCTGTTTTCTGGTCAAGTTTTGTTGGAGCCAGAGAATATGGAAATTGCACATTTTACGTTATTTTTTTTCACAAATATGACTTTTAGATGAGAAAATACTACTAGTAGAATAGCCTTGTGCTATTTCACTATAATATTAACTCAAGTAGTTTGGGACTTTCTTATTTCAGAGAGACAGTCAATATAATATCATATGTTTATCTATCTATAGCCATATAGATAGATAGATCTCCATAGTACTTTTTTTCTTTTTCTTTTTCTTTTGTTGGAGGAGAGCTTGAATGTGATTATCTGTAAACCCACCAAACTAATGGGATAATTGACATATAATCACCATAGACCAAGCTGAACTGTACAAGTTATTTTTTTCATGCTTGTACATATATTTTCAATCACATGCAAGTACAGACTTTCACATATTTATCTAGCAAACTGATTTACTTAGGAAGAAATCTTACTTTCAAAGATAGGTGTAGATACATAATTATGCTTAAGTCTTAGTGGTGTTTTAACAACTCTAGGAATTACCAGTGTAAGACAAAGCTAGGTATACTTTAAAGCAGGTTGAAAATAAAATTAAAGGACTGGTTATTTAGATGCTTTCATGGGCATCTGTAAGAATAAATTTTAGTGACTGCCAAGTATGGAGAGTAATGATCCCTGGCAAATTTGTTGCAAACATTCATATCGCCCTTAATGTTAACATTAAGACCTAGGTAGGACAACATACTAAAATGAAAGGTAAATAATAGATGCTTCAAATTCTCATAACTTATTCAGCTATTTCAATCTCGATTAAGAAGCCTCAACCCCTTTATCACTAATTTGGATTGAAATGAATGAGGCCAATTCACATTCCCATCAAACTCTACTCCAGGGAAATATGGAGGTAATAATTGGAGGTAAAAATTTCTTAGGAAAGGAATTTTACTCTGTTTTGTCTAATTAAATTATTCCAATGGTGGGTGGTGATAACAGTCACCATCCTTAATCCATTGGTCACTGACAGATAAATATGTCAAGGAAAGTCCAAGAAAAGAAAATGTATTTTTCTATGTATACATTGATATTTTGCTATGCAACTTTGGTCTGTAACTGAATTCATACACTGCAGGCATTTTCTAACTTATTACAGATTATGGACCATAGATGACATTAAAATCATTATAGTTAAGCGATGACCGTTTGTTGTATTTTAGTGTTAAAAC